TAAAATTTATAAGCATGATTTTATGATGATAGATTATCATACATTATGATTAGAGGCCCCCTAACGATGCCTTCGCCGCGACGTGTATGTGTGTGTGTGGTGGGGGGGGGGGGTGTATGCGTGCGTGCGCGGACGCGTGTGTGTGATATTATCATTTCTTCGTCTATAGGGCGAGGTAGGTTATTTAAGGGTATATGGGCGTCTTTCTGAAAAAAATGACATGACTTAATTTTCTCAAGTGCCGACAAAATTTTCTCGAATTCGTCACATGCTTCGCATGAATGTTATTGCAGTTGTTTGTGTCTGTGCAACTGTGACTGTTTAGTCCTTTGACGTTCCCTCTCAAAAGTATTTTTGCATCTATTACATGTACATGACAATTGAAATTGAAATGAATTGAAATGAATTGAATTGAAATTGAAATTGAATTGACGATTGAAATTCATTCTTCAATTGCTTATCATATGCTAGCAGCATGCTAACATACTTATTCGCCATAGGATTCCGCCAGAAAATACTCTCTTACACTTTTGGAAGCACCAACATAAGAAACGGAATATGGCCCAACACCCACATACCCGCAAATAGCATATATCGCCATATTATGATGACATCACACACACGCAGGGTGCAGTGCGCACACACACACACACACGCACGCACGCGCACACACACACACCACACACACACACACACACCCACACCCACACCCACACACACACACACACGCGCGCGCGCGCACCCCCCCCCACCCCCCCCCACACACACGCAATATGCATGTGTGTTTAATATCATATATTATACACACATTATATGCGTATAGATGTTCCACATGTCACAACATGCATGTTTGCTTTTGTATATTGTATTACTTGCTTGACAGGCCATCAGCGGCTCTGCGCGTGTTAAACTATTCACGACAGATCGGCTTTTGTTCTTGCGTGCAGAGCAGCCAAACAAATATCATAGCAATATGTCGCGTTGTACTGCTTGTGATGCTAGGCTTATTCGTCGGGGTCGCGCACCCGAGGTATATCAATTGCTGTTTTTGCATAGAACACGACGTGGTCTTAATATCTTAAAACAGTGGAATCGGAGCTGATCTTGGTACCGGCGATACTTGGAAATATACGCATTAAGTGCCATTTCTGCAGTCGGTGTTGGATTTACAGTGACGACAGTAGCTACGGGTCATTAAATATAATGATCGATGTCCGATAAGGGGCACCGAAGATCATGTATGTCCTTTATGGCGTTATCCTTACAGCGCCCTTCGAAGAGGAAAAAATTGATGATATCATACACACGCGTACACACACGCGTGCACATCACACACACACAACACACACACACACACACACACACACACACACACACACACACACACACACACACCAACGCAGACGCACACACATCGCACACATACACACACGCACAATACACACACGCGCGCACACAATACATACTACATACAAACATACATACATACATACATACATTACATACATACATACATACATTACATACATACATTACATACATACATACATACATACATACATACATTACATACATACATACATGCCCATTGCTGCATGCATGCATGCATGCATGATGCATGCATGCATGCATACATACATCATTACATTACATACATACATACATACATACATAATACATACATACATACATACATACATACATACATACATAATACATACATACATACATACATACCATACATTACATACCATACATACATACATACATACATACATACGATACATACATACATACATAATACATTACATAACATACATACATACATAATACTACATACATACATACATTACATACATACATACATACATACATACATACATACATACATAACATACACTACATACTACATACATACATACATCATTACATACATACATACATACTATACGATACATACATACATTACATACATACATATCATTACATAACAACATACAATACATACATACATACATACATACATCATACAGTACGATACATACATAATACATACATACATAACATTACTACATACATACATTACATACATACATACATACATACAATACATACATACATACATAATTACTACATACATACATACATAATTACATACATTACATACATACATACAATTACATACATACAACATACATACATTAAATACACATACATACATACATACATACATACATACAACATACATACATACATACATTACATACAGTGAGCAGATACATACATTTACATACATACATTACATACATACATACATACATACATACATACATACATACTACATACATTACTACATACATACATACATACATACATACATACATACATACATACATACATACATACATACATACTACAATACATAGCATAATACATACATACAAGCTAAAATGATACATACATTACATACATACATACATACATACATACATATCATACATACACTACATACCCATACAGGTAACATACATACATACATATCACTACATACATAACATACACCTACATACAGTACAGTTACATACATACATAACATAACATACATACCATACATACATACATACATTACATACATAGGCATACATACATACATACATACATACATACATAGATACTTATACATAACATACATACATATCAACATACATACATACTATACATACATACATTACTACATACTACCATACGACATAATACATACATACATACATACATACATACATACATACACACATACACACACATTATTATTATTAATATTAATATTATAATAATAATAATAATAATTCTTTAATTAGTATTATTATTTAAATATTAATCATTTCGTTTCATTTTCATGCGTATTACAATTCGAAATACGAAATGTGGGTGAAATTAGTGCTAGTTTTACCACACAGTCATTTAAAAGGAGATGTCATGCCGTCGTGGTTACATTCGTATTCTATGAAACAGGCATTTTGTCGGAAACTAACAATCAAGAACAAACTTCCAAATGGTTCCTTCGGCATACCTAGATGTACCCCTTTGCAACTGCACTTTGACATTTTCCCTAATGTGAACATCAACTGTGATAATAGGTAGGGCTAGCCCAACGTTTACTGTTGGTTTTTTGTCCGGCGGCGCTATAGGCATGCACGTGTCGTGCACGCACCATGTTTGTTGATGATTTGTAGGGTGAGTAAACTTACCAAGCATGACGCGTCGCAGAATAGAAAGGTAAACACGCGCAGAACATGCCTTCGGAAATCCATGCGCAATAAAAATACGGGTCAGCTGGAAATCGATACTGTGTGATAACACGGCCAGTCGAAATGTACCTAGCGCTTTGTAGCTTTCATCGCGCGTTTGCCTAAGTAATGTCTCTATTTGTACGTGTTTATAGCGTCGCGTCTGCTCATTTAAATACACTTTGAATGCGCAGAACCCCAGTTGTGGTTGCGACCTATCCTTTACGTTTTACAAGCTTGCTTATCTGTGTAACTATTTAACTCGCGCTGATGAGGTAACCTAATGTTACAAGTTAATTAGTTGTCTCATCACTGTCGCAAACTCGCCGATCCGGGTGCTCACAGCGTGGGGGACTAAAAGAGTTGCGTGAAGCTATATATTATATATATATTAAAATATCATGATATATTATCCTCTATGTACTTATTTAGAACTTTTGATTATATATATAGTATATATATAGAAAGAAGGGAGAGAGAGAGAGAGAGAGAGAGAGGGAGAGAGAGACGAGTCGAAATTAGCGAGAGAGGATAGAGAGGAGGCAGAGTGAGAGAGAGAACGAGAAGAGCGGCGGGCGGGGGGGGGGGGTGAGAGAGAAAGAGAGACGAGAGAAAGAGAGAGAGGAGAAAGAGAAGAAAGAGAGAGAGAGAGAAGGAGAGAGAGAAAGAAGAAAAGAGAAAGAGGAGACGAGCAGGAAAAGAAGATGAGAGAGAGAGAGAGAGAGAGAGAGAGAAAGAGAGCGGGAAAGCGAGTGAGCCCGAGACAGAGAGCACTTTGAAAGACTACAGAGAGTGAAATGTATTTTCGAAATGGCCTATCTCCTTTAAACAAGGCAGGTCAACATAATATAAGCATAGACAACCACAGTCTACAAAATAGATTAACTAAGCGGGCACTTTGCGCAGGGCGGTATGTTGTTTTATCTAAAAAGTGTAAAAGCAGCCATATATAAATTAATGAAGGAAATTATTTAACTTGAAACTTCCAACTGTCACTCGTTTAGTATAAATCCTTTAACTAGGCAAAATCAGGTATCAGCCTCATATAGTATATTAAGCATTTTATTATGACCTCGTGTATATTATAAACGAGATCATAATAAAATATACGTGTAAGCCTGAATTTAAATTGACGCTTAAGTATTGCCCATTAAAGGGACATTAAATTAGAAACGTGTTCTACGTATTAATTAGAAAATTTATTAAAACTAACTAAATTTCACTTAATGCTAAACGGAATGGCGTATTTCATTTGTCAGTTTTTTTTACGTTTTAAAATCGCAACATTTATCCCTTTTCATACACATAAGTGGATCTTGGCCATCAAAAAGCTAATCAACCTAAATTTCGCATTCTCACGTATACGCGTAGATTGCGCTGCATTGTGTACATTGTACTTTATTATGCATATTCTCATAATACTCCGCATATATATAATGCTCCGCGGGCAACATTCAAATAAATACGCACTCTAATCTGTAGAATCCGCTTTCTACTTTTCGCGGCGTAACTTGCGTAATCTGCCCGCCTGTCATCCGATATTGGCGATAACTTCCACCTTTGGGGATATATCAGGGCGACTGCAGTGCGCGCACCTCGCACACGCATGGCAGAATCGATCCGCGTGCGTGTCATGCGTCAGTGTGGTATCAGACGAGATCATGTGCGCGGCCGAGGCTGTTTCCATCTCGTGTATGTAAGCTGTCAGTTATAAAGCTACGGCGTTGTTCGGTGAATGTGTTTTCGTGTTGCCCGAGCACACCTAGAAGGGGCCACGTTGCTCGGCCTAAGTACGTTTTCATGTTCGTCGGAACAAGAGAGAATATAGCGGCGTGAGGAACAATGCTCATGTCAGACCTATATCTACAGGCAAATAGCGCGTCATTTGCTCACTTCATAAAGCAGTAAAGCTGCCGATACGAGGTACGCCAATCCCGTGCGCTTACAGAACACATATTCGTACTTGTTTCCGACAGCAAGGATCAAAGAACTCCAGATGACATTTTGCATTCACCGATGTGCGTTATAACGTCTGACGGCCGCCACAGAACCGTAATCCACCTCGCTTACGTATGAATAGCGTATATCAGCGTTGGGTAAGTGTCTCGTTTTTACTCACTTGTCGTGGCGCGAGTAATAAACCGCCGAGTAGCGTGTTGCCGGAAAACACGGTGTTGGGGGGTATTCGTTACGTTTTCACAACTTTAGCTACTTTACAATGCTTGCTCAAGTCATAGAGTAGTTTGCCGTGTAACTACACAGTCGGTAAACGGCAACGTTGGATTAATCGGTGGTGTTTTTGCTTGCGAGGCGAACGAACGGTATAGGTATACACACCGATTTGGTGAAACGGTGAAATTATCTCTAAATTACGGACCGTTCTTCCGCAAAACCGAATACGCTGCACCTAGATAGAAACGGGAATAAACCAAACGGAAACGGAAACGGAAATAACCAAAACGGGAATAAAGGTGTACAGTTGCGTGCTTACGCGCGCGTGCATCCTGTGTGTGTGTGTGTGTGTGTGTGTGTGTGCGCGCGTGCGTGCGTGCGTGCGCGCGTGTGTCTGTGTGTGTGAAGCAAGGTGCATGAAGTCTACTGCATGTATAGACCTTTACTCTGGAGGCGAACACGGCGATATACAGTAGTGGGTACAAAAACGACCCGGGTCGAAATGACACGGGTCGTTTTTTGTACCAAGAAAACGTCCTTGTGAACGCTTGGCCCGGAACTCCTTTGACCCGTGTGACCGCGACTATAAAATCCACTCAGCGTAATAGATTGGCTGTGGTTGTTTCACATGTCTAAACGATATTTAGATCGCGATTACGGCTCATTCGTCTACGCTCGGCTACGGCTATCATATTCGCTGTGATACGTGAAATCATAAATTGAAATCGATTTCGGAATGACATCGCCCGTTGTCCGGTGGAACATGCAGTGAATATATATAGCGTCGAACAGACGCGTGGCTCCTAAATTAATGGTGGCAGATACATCGTAAGGCACATCACAGTAGAGAACAGTAGCATAGGAAGGCTCATAGTATGGCATAGCACGAAACATTCCAGTTGTTATTTTGAAGAATGCGATATTTTATCGTGGTCGATTTATCACGCAATCTGAATAGCCGTAAGCAAATCACAAAATAGCTTGTCAAAGCAACACGTGAAATATTCAGCGCATATATTATTGATATTTCCAAATAATTTCATAAATTTATCTTTTTAATCTTAATTTCTTAACTTCTTATAATCTTAATCTTAATCTGTGTGTAAATATAGCACTGCGCGCATATATATATATATATTATAAAATTAAGTGGGGCGCTTTCTTGCGCGCCTATGTGCGTCCGTGCGCTCGTTCGTGCGTGTGCACGGTCGTGCATGCGTGTGTGTGCGTGACTGAGTGTGTAAGTAAGTATTCTATAGATCCATGTTATCAGTGACGCTGTGGTGACGAGAAGATAATTATTGCGAGCGTCACTCGCGTTTATACTTCACTATGGTTAGCTGTTCAGTCAGAACACAGGCACTACGAACGTCTCAATAAATAAAAATAATGGTAAATAAACACGAAATGTATTCACTACCAAAGTCTTAATGTTTCTCTACTCTATTTCGCCTATAATCACCTGTAAATGCCGGTAAAATGCTCATCTGCAACACACAAGTACACCGCACGCTAGCTGCTGCACACTGACACATAAATATATATAAAAATAAATATATAGACAAAATAACTATATATTTATGTGTCAGTGTGCAGCAGCTAGCGTGCGGCGGCCAACGTGTGACAGTGTGTTGCAGATAAGCATTTGGACGGCATTTACAGAAAATTGTCGGCAATAATAGGTGAAAGAAAGTAGAGAAACATTAAGACTTTGGTAGTAAATAGATTTCGTATTTATTTAGCATTATATTTGATTGAAACGCTCCAAGTGCCTGTGAGTCAGAAGGGCCGCGCGCAGCAATTAGAAAACAGCAGCCGGCGTACTTTAGTAGCGTGTCGGCGATAAACTAGTTTAATTAACACTGTTTCCTGACATGTTTGCGTTTGACATACACCCCATCGTGTTGATATGGTGTAGTGGAAGTGCTCGCACCTAAGGATGATTAAGAATATACTCGCATATACGCACAATTAGGCCCACGTGCACGCACACGCTCTCGCACTCGCGCTGGCACACTCACACACGCACGAGCGCATACACGGACTACACCCGCGTGTACCCGCGTATATCTACTCGTAGAGATACGCAACCCTAACCCTAACCCTAACCCTAATCCTAACCCTAACCCTAATCTTAACCCTAACCCTAACCCTAACCCTGACCCTAACCCTAATCCTAACACTATCCCAACACTAGTGCTGCCACGTTGCGGTCACCTCCCTCCACGCCCGGGGGATAGCATTACCCCACACGTACACGGACACTCGCTCTTGCACAAACACACATGCGTTCACAGATACGCAGACACGTGCACACGCACATGCACACGCACACGTACACACCCATGCACGCACACGTACACGCACGCGCACGCGGACGCGGACAAGCGCACACGCGCCCATGCACACACACCTCCGCGCGTGCATACGCGTGTGCGTGGGCATGTGCGTGTGCGTGTATGTGTGTTTTTATGTAGGTTTGTATGCATGTGTAATATCAAGAGCTTATTAACCCTCGTATGGTTAATGGGCTCTTGGTAATATTCGTTAGGTGCGGATCAACGCAGTATATATAATAAACGTAACACTGGAGTAAATGAACGTGTCCTTTATTGCGGGTCTCAGCCATATTATACGCTTTCGCCCGCGCTTTTCTAACCGTCATCATGTATGATTACCTAATCAGGATAATAGAGGGCAACACCTGACGGTGTCTCGTATTGAACAAATATAATAGTGATTATACAAACCATTACATGTATGTGTAAAGGTTTGCATAACTGCATGAAGATTGTCTGTCCGTATGCGGAGATCAATATCATCGACCGCGAATAGCTCGTCTCTACGCTATATGGAACTAGCGCGGTATCGGAAATGCTCGCTACAGGATCACTCCTAAAGGACATGCAACCGCTACTCATGTGCGATAAGGTGCCGGATGAACCAGCGGACGAACCAGCGATTGCACGTCGATTGCACATAATCGGGCAACAAATTAAGTCTCTATTGAGACAGAAACCCAATTCAGGCGGCCAGTATAAGCTCTGAAGTCTCTCTCTTTGCTATCTCTTACACCATGTTGGCGCGTAATTGTATTGCGATAAGGGGTCGCTGATATTTTGGTGCTTTTCGTTTCGGAGGAATAAAATCAATACACGTGCAAATACAAGGCCTAGGCAAGTGTAATCACTCTTCATGTTATATATGCAACAGGTCACAAAGTAAAGTGCTGTCTATTCGCGACTCGCTTCCTTGTCTTGGAAGACAAGTAATATAGTATATCGATAGTAATAACGACACACATAAAACTTTATACTCGTTGCTGTAAGCGCGTGATGTTAAAGCACAGAGGATAATTTACAGAGATGTTGAGATTGAAACGGAATGTGTAGTCATAAACTCTGTAGTTATACGACTGCTATCGTAGATATTTTCAGTATCACACGTACGCACGTCGGCGTAAGCAAACGAACGAAACGTTCGAACGTACAGACACACCCAGTGGACGCACTCTTATATAATGGTAAAGGGCAGAATATCGATTAATTGTACTCTGTAAACTTACGGACGCGTTATACACGTGTAACGGGCGCGGAATATCGGCCAACTGTTTCTTTCATGTATGCACAAAACAGGATCAAACTGTCTGAGCATTTCAACATCTGACGACAATCACGCACAGGCTGGGCGCACACATATATGTGGATGCCGATGATGCTAACGCCGAAGATCTGAGGAATCTGACACTAAAGGCGAAGTAGACGGGGTCTCCCGTTTTCTGTGCGCGACGAATGAGAGATTCTGTCTATTTTACTTTTGGTGTCACGCGTTCCCACTTCCGTCGACAACTTCACCGAGCGGCGACAGCGGCGACAGCGGCGACAGCGGCGACAGCGGCGACAGCGGCGACAGCGGCGAGGATTCAATGCAATCAACAGCTAGCGCTCATTTGCGACAACAAGGAGCTAGAACATCGGCGGCTGAGCGTGAGCCCCAGCCATTTCTCGTTACGTAGGGCGAATAAGAGATAGAGAGAGAGAGAGAGAGAGAGAGAGAGAGAGAGAGAGAGACAGCGTACGAACGAAACGAAACGTAAAAAGAT